TATTTCTCAATGTGTCTTTCCTTATGCCATTTCCTCAGTTTTAAGAACTGTATCAAATCTCTTCTGCATATCTGAACCCTAACAATCCTTTCAAGGCCCAGTTCAACTTGTCCATGAAGTCTAGGTAAGTCCTACAGCATAGATTTATACCATTCCTTTAGCAATTAACAAATGTGATGTCCTGTATCTTCTCATAGCCTTCACAATGTTCAACACAATGTCTTGCCTACAGAAAATGCACAGTAATTATCTTATTACCAGTTCACTAATTACCTTGGGTATCTAAAATGACTGGCCCATGCATGAGGACAGTGTGTCCTCTAGGGCCAGCCTCCCCAATTCCAACTCAGAGCTGTTCCATTGATCTGTAGTACTCAATCACTTTCAGCTGCTCGTTTACCAGTTAAATTTTGGTATAAAAGCAGAACTGAAGGGCTTTAAGTAACTTTACCATAGATCTGCAAAGTCCCATTCTAAGTTTAAAAAAATAATAATAAAGAACAAAAGAGCCCAGCTGGCATGGCTTGGTAGTTAAGCACTGACCTATGAACCAGGTGGTCAGGGTTCGATTCCCAGTCAGGGCACATGCCAGGTTGTGGGCTCGATCCCCAGTGTGGGACATGCAGGAGGCAGCCAATCAATGATTCTCTCTCTCATCATTTGTATTACTATCTCTATCTCCCTCTCCCTCTCCCTTCTTCCCTGAAATCAATAAAAACATATTTTAAAAAAAGAACAAAAGAAAGCCAAAAATAACAACTATATAGGTCTGAGATCAATGTGACAGCTCAAAGACTGGCCTGTATAATCGCTTCTGATTTAGGGTCTGTAGTTTTAAATAGCAAACAACTCTCCTGTCTCAAAAATCAACTGGGCTAAACTAGAGAAGTTTCTCTAAATATTTCAAAGTTTTTCTTCCCTTTTTGAATACCAAGGGAAAAGGAGGAACCCTCTGTCTCCTAAGGGAATGAGTTGTTTAGGGATAAAGTATTTCCAAAAAAAAAGCACTGCTGTTGCACTTACCATATTGTGGTTTAAGTATCTGCTTATGAACCTGTCTCTCCCATCAAACTATAAGCTCCTCAAGGGCAGGGAATCCAAGACTGGATATCTTGTCTTACTCATCTTTATATATCCTAAGTCTAACAGCCTGGCCCACTGAGAGACTCAGTAAATGCTTTCTCAATTAATGAATGAATTCCACCTTAGGTTAAAATATGCTCAAAATGCCAACAGCCTGTTAAAAAGTAATGGATAGAGGTTAAATAATATATTCAAATGCCAACTGCATGTTAAAAAGTAAAGAAATATAGAAGTCACATACATTTTATATTTAAGCAGACTAAGCATAATCTATTGGCATTTTCTTTCTTCAAAATCATTTCCAACAGCTGACATATAAAATTTCCTAAGAGCGATGGCCGGTGTAGCTGTTAGTTGAGCGTCATCCCATGAACCCAGAGGTCACTGGTTCGATTCCTGGTCAGGGCACATGCCCAGGTTTCGGGTTCCATCCCCAGTAGGGGGCTTGCAGGAGGCAGTCCATGGATATGTCTCTCTCTTCCTCTCTCTCCATTTTATCCCACTGCTGACCTCTTGGGGGGGGGGGGGGGGAGAGGGGGGGGGGGGGGGGGGGAGATTCTCCTTGATGCTCTCTCGGATCTTTCTCCAGTGTTCCTGCCTCAGTTTCAACTGATCCCTGCTTTTTTATTACCCTTTAACCCATAAAAAAAAAAAAAAATCTGAAGAGCCAATGAGAGTGATCATCAGAGAATGGAAGTTTCAGAATCAGAGTGCAAGAGGGTGCAATGTACTTTAATCTTCCCCAACAATCATTAAAAATCATTGTTGAGCCCTAGCCGGTTTGGCTCGGTGGATAGAGCGTCAGCCTGTGGACTGAAAGGTCCCAGGTTCGATTCCGGTCAAGGGCATGTACCTTAGTTGCGGGCACATCCCCAGTGGGGGGTGTGCAGGAGGCAGCTGATCGATGTTTCTCTCTCATCGATGTTTCTAACTCTCTGTCTCTCTCCCTTCCTCTCTGTAAAAAATCAATAAAATATATATTTAAAAAAAATTTTTAAAAAATTAAAAAAATCATTGTTGAAATTAAAATGCACCATGAAAAGTCAGAGTACCACACACAGAGCAATATATATTATAGACAGGATGTCCCCAAAGTATGTATACACATTTTAACAGCTGAAAGCTCAATTGATGTTTCTTTTTCAGATTTAACCCATTAGAATAAATAATTATTCAAAGTGCATATACATTTTTGGGACACCCTGTATATATAAAATACACATATATGTATGTGTATATATGTATGTATATAAAATTGGGGCTACGTATATTTTTTAGAGACATAAATATATGATACTGACACTGGGGGAAAAATGACTCTAGACTAAGCAGACCATTGGCCAAAAGAGGAAGGATATACACAGCTATACGATAGTGATTAAAAAGGAATATTCTTCTAAAATAGCAAAGGTAATCAAGTTAAATACTGTTCAGAGTTTAAGGAAAATGCTCACAAAATAATGAGCTATTTACAATATAGTTCTCTCAAATACTCTATTTCTAGGAGTATATAAAGCAGCTTTGAAAAACACAAGGGAAATAGTACCAGTACTCATCTCTCCAATGATATATAAGAGTTTAAAACATACGCCAATTTTACTTAAATATATGAACTTATTAACAATCTGTTCATCATTAGGCTGATAATAAAAAACCCAAAACAAAGAAACAAAAAATCCAACAAGCCTAAACAAGCAGCCACACCTTTTAACCCTCTTTTAGTTATGATTTCAAAGCATTCCTAGTATGAATATGGTCTCTAAGCAGCAATTTGTTCTATTAAAAATAAGTGTTTTTTTAAAAATGATGAGTGTTTAAAAAGTCATGCTGTCCTCTGACCTAACATCCTATCTCAAAGACAATCAGGAACAGTTGAAAACATATATAAGAATGCTAACAGGAACATGTGTATCATACTGAAAAGCTAGAAGCAACATAAAATTCCATTAGAGGAGTATGCAGCTATTGAAATTAAAGAGCTATAATTAATGGTATTAAAGATAACACCTAGTGCCTAAACCGGTTTGGCTCAGTGGATAGAGCGTCAGCCTGCGGACTGAAGGGTCCCAGGTTCGATTCCGGTCAAGGGCATGTACCTGGGTTGCGGGCACATCCCCAGTGAGGGATGTGCAGGAGGCAGCTGATCGATGTTTCTCTCTCATCGATGTTTCTAGCTCTCTATCTCTCTCCCTTCCTCTCTGTAAAAAATCAATAAAATATATTAAAAAAAAAAAGATAACACCTAGTAAGCTAAAAACAGGCTATAGAAGAGGACATAAAATAAAATTGCATAATATCTATTCACAAAATTCAGAAACATCTTGGAAGGATTAACTCTAAATGTCTGGATTTTGTGATATTTTTATATTTCCTCTGGGAAGAATATTTTCAGAAAAATCACAATGAGTCTGAATCACTTTAATAACAAATCTTTTTTTAAAGGATGATACTAACTTCAATAAATATATCCAGTAACTATATGCCCCATAACTGTGTAGTTTAGAGTGTCTGAAAGGCAATCAGACACTATTCAGTGATAAATGCACATATACTTTGATTCAGCAATTCCACCTGTAAGTATTTACAATACAGCTACTTTCACACAAATGTGCAACACTTTTGTTCAAGAATATTTACAGCAGCATTGTTTGTATTGGATGTGACAGAACTGTCCATCAATAGAGAATAGATAAATAAATTATATACAATGAAGTACTGTGTAGCTATGAATAAGACTGAGGTAGCTATGTGTGTTGGAGTTGAATGACATCCAAGATAAATTGGAATTTTTTTTTTAAAACAGTATGTATCAACTAACAGAGGAAAGGTGAGATTGATATAGAGGCATATCCTTGTATTTGTATAGACTATCTCTAGGACACACACAAAAACAGTAAATAGTGGTTACGGGTGGGTTGGAGGTCTAGAAATCAGGGGTGATAGGACTTAATTTTCACTATAAACACTGTAAACCAATTTGTGCTGTTTGAATATTTTTTTACCATGTATGTATGCTACTTTTAAGTTTTAATAATTTTTTTTCATTAGACAGTGAATTATTTTGCTGCTATATAAATAGATGTATAAGAAAAATAGGTCTTCAAGTATAAAAATTGTAGTATCAGGACAGTTGTTTTTTAAGAATTTAAAAAAATTCTAAACTATCATTTGCTGTTTTAAGTTTATTACAATCGCTGGAAATTATACTCCATTGTAAACCTTAACTTTTGTGGACAAAGGTTATTTACATTGTTGCTAGCCAACAAATCCACATTTGTTTAACCTAATCCTTGTTTTGCTCTCAGTATTGTTAGCAGTTTTAAAAAATCTGTTTTCTTTCTTGCTATATTTAATACATATTCTTTATTAAAAAAAATTTGGCCAAACAATAAATAGGGAATAAGGGAACAGATTTTTCTCCTTTTCCAGTGATACTTATCCTTCTAGGTCAGTTTGCCCTAGCCTTCCCTGACAGAATAACAAAAGAAATGCCGACCTAAGATAAACAAGATGACTCACTAAATATAGTTTTTACTCCAAGAGTGTTCTACAAAAATTAAAGCTAAGAAAAACATAATACATTGAAGTATATTCTGAGGAAGATGAAATACAAGCTAATGGCTCAGATCCAACTACCATTAACATGCTCTGTAACTTTGAAGAACGCATTTTCCAGCAATTAGGAGTTATTTGAAAAAGAGACAGAAAATGCTGCTTAACATAGTAACAGAGGTCTTTCTATTACACTTGTTCAACGTTATCAAATAACAGAGAAACATCAGCAAGGTTATACTGGAAGGGATACCTAATCAAAACAAGTCAGTGTTGACTTACTCAACATCACTGCTTATATTTATGTACCAAACTTCCAGAAAATAAGTGGTAAACAAAAATTCAAATGAAAAAACGAAACTCACCTTTAACACTCTTTCTATTAACATCTGCTCCCTTTTCAAGTAAATACTGCGCAATCTCTTTGTGTCCTTTGTAACATGAAATCATCAAGCAGGTATGCCCATGCCGGTTTGACACTTCCAAATCAGCTTTGTGTTCTACAAGGTACTTCACTATTTCCAAGTGGCCATCGAAGCAGGCAGCTCTTAGAGGAGTTGAATTGGTCAAAGTCGTGTTGTTCACAGATGCTCCATGATTTAACAGAGACTGGACCACCTTCAGATGTCCTGCGGCAGAAGCGGCCCACAAAGGGGGAGCCCCCTCGATGGTTTCACCGTCAAAATTGACCGAGCCCCCGATTTCTATGGAGGCGCTGCACTGCTCCAGGAGGAACTCCACCATGTCCAGGTGCCCATACCTGGCCGCCATCAGGAGTGGCGTGGCCCCATTCGTTTTCTCAGAGATCAGGGAGGAAATCTCCTCTTTGGATTTGCTGGCCAACAACTTGGTGAGAAGCCGGAGTTTGCCATCGCGAGCTGCGTTAAACACGGCTGTCTTCAGATCCATTTATGTCCAGGTGGGAGGCGGTGCTTTTATTTATCCCTCAATGCAAAGCTCAACTCTTATCGACACAGGCACGAGTCACAGGAACCAAAGTTCATTTTTCATCACAGAACCCCAGGACGGATATCAAAAAAAAACCAAAAAACACGGAGAGTATGTTCTGTCCTGTTGCCTTCCGACATCTGACAACCAGAGCAACAAACTGGAGAAAGGAAGAAAAAAACAGTAGTTTTGAATTTGTCATAAGTAAAAGCAAAAAACATTTGTTTTGGTTTTTTTCGTAATTTCTACTCCTGTGGGGAGGAAAAGTCCTAGTTTAGGGGCTACCACGCCACCGACACCCCCCCCCCAAAAGGTGAAAAAGAACACACAATGGTACACACACCCCCGAACGGCTCGGGGGGAGGCGGACTCCTCTCTACATATGGTGAATGTAAGCACTAACAGGCGCCCGGCTTCTCGGCTCCTCTCCAGCCAAGCTGCGCTCTAGTTTGGTGCCGCACACGCCCGGGGAGAGTCCGACCGACAGGGGCGTGAGGCGCGGGTCCGGGACGGCGCCTTCTCCCGTCCGCAGGGCAGAGCCGGCCAAGGGCGCGAGGCCGGGAGGCCTCATGGTGGCCAGAAGGGGTGTCGTGGAGGAACAAAAAGTCAGACACCACCAGCCACGGCCAGCCGGCGCCAAGCCCCCCTCCCCACGGCTCTCTCGCCTCCAAAACTCCGAGAGGCTCTCAGGAAATCCGGCCGCCGCGGAGCTCCCTTCGCCCGCCCCATTTTGATCCCCCGCCCCCAAGGGATCGCAGGTCCCCACATCTCAGCCGCCCCTTCACCTCACAGAACCTTCACCTCGGCCTTTTCCGGACGCGGGCAGCCCCTCCCCAAGGTCCTCCACTGACCACGACCCCCTCCCGGCGGGCGGCCCGGCCGGCGGC